CCAACAACACAACCAATGCGAAATTGTATATGTATATGTAGATGTAGGTGTAGGTGTAGATGTAGTTGTAGGTGTAGATGTATATGTAGATGTAGGTGTAGATGTAGGTGTAACTGTAGATGTAGATGTGAGTCTCGCTGTTGATGTAGATGTATCTGTAGATAGATGCATAGGTATATGTAGATGTAGCTGTAGGTGTAGATGTAGATGTAGGTCTATATGTAGATGTACGTGTCGATGTATATGTATGTATGTATGTATGTATGTTTGTATGTATATATATATATATATATATATAACTGTAAAGAACCCCCCAGTGCCCCCGCCCCCATCTCCGTGCCTGCCTGCTTGCTTTTGCTGCTGTCTCGGCGACCTGCTGCCTGCTCCTGCTGCTTTCTCACTTACGGCGTGGCGTCGGCGGTTCTGGCGCTACTACTACGATTACTACTACTACTACTACTACCACTACCACTACTACTACTATTACTACTACTACTACTACTACTACTACTACTACTACTACTACTACTACTACTACTACTACTACTACTACTACTACTACTACTACTACTACTACTACTACTACTACTACTACTACTACTACTACTACTACTACTACTACTACTACTACTACTACTACTACTACTACTACTACTACTACTACTACTACTACTACTACTACTACTACTACTACTACTACTACTACTACTACTACTACTACTACTACTACTACTTACTACTACTACTACTACTACTACTACTACTACTACTACTACTACTACTACTACTACTACTACTACTACTACTACTACTAATACTACTGCTACTACTGCTACTACTACTACCTACTACTACTACTACTACTACTACTACGACTACTACTTACTACTACTACTACTACTACTACTACTACTACTACTACTACTACTACTACTACTACTACTACTACTACTACTACTACTACTACTACTACTACTACTACTACTACTACTACTACTCCTACTCCTACTACTACTACTACTACTCCTACTACTACTACTACTACTACTACTACGACTACTACTACTACTACTACTACTACTACTACTACCACTGCTGCTTCTTTTTCTACTACTACTACTACTACTACTACTACTACTACTACTACTACTACTACTACTACTACTACTACTACTACTACTACTACTACTATTACCGCCACTGCTACAACTACGACGATGAGGAGAAGGAGGAGGACAGCGTTTACCGCTCCTGCTAATGTTGCTTTCCTAGAGGCTCCAACTCCTAGGTAGGGTCGCAATGGGATAATTTATTGTTTCCCTATCTAGCTTTTCTGGGCGCATGGTGCCGCCGCTGTATATCCCCCACAATTCAAATACTTTTGTAAGGCGCGACAGAAGGAATCCTTCTGTACAGCCTGCTACAAACAAGTGTTCTGATTGTGGAGGCCACTGCATATCCTCCACACTTAATATCCTTTTTTCTAAGGTTGCCACAAAAGGAATCCTTTTGCAAAGGCCGCTACACAACGATTTTAAGTGTAGATCTCCTGCATGATAAAAACGGCGACAGTTACAGGTTGTCCAAACTTTTCATTGTTTTTCATTGATCACATAGGCTTTTTCATGTTCTTTGTGTTTTCCCTGCTTTTCTCTCTTGGTTTTCCTGGGCTCAAGGTGCCACCGTTGCAGATCCTCCTCTTTTTGAATTGGATCGGCGCTTGACCCCCCTCCCTGGCGCGCGCGCGCGTGGAGCGCGCCGGGAGCGGCGCCAAGGGCGCCGCCAGGGGGGCCCAGCGCAGATCCAAGGAATCCGCGCGGACCTCCAAAAGTTCCTGCTTATGCCGCCGACATTTGTTCTCCGACCCCCCCCCTCAACTAAGGGGATCAAATAAGGGGGAATGGCTCAGGCAGGGTTGGCAAGATTGACTTGTTCGGCAAGAATGCATTTTTCTGTTCGCGGCCATATCTGACGTTATGGGGGGGAGGGTGGGACGGTCCGACTCGCTGTTTGTATGATTACAGCAAGGCATTTTTGATGGATTTCCTAGCGATTGGAAAGCTATGGATCACAAGTTTCTTCATCATGCATGTTTGTCGTCTTCGTTTTTCTTAATATTTCCGTTTTCCTTTTTTCTCCCGAAATCTTTTTGTATTGCCTTTACAAAAAAGGATTCCTTGTTTGTGCGGGATCTGCAGTGGTCTCCATTGTTATAATCCTTTTATAGCAGCCTGTACGCTCAGATTTCCAAATAGGTTGATGTTTTTGTTGTTGTTGTTGCTTCCGTCAGGGGGGGGCAGCCAGAAGAGGCACGGGGGGCATGCGTTGTTGTTCTACAGTTTTGTCTTTCTCGTCCTTCCTTTTCGTCGTCGTCCCTGGCCTTGCTTTCCTCCTAATCTTCTTCCTCATACTCCCTTGTCCTGTGCTTTTCTCTTTTGCGGTCTGTCTGCTTGTTCTTCCTCGTCGCCGTCGTCGTTGTCTTCCTCCTCGACATTCCTCATGTCTTCTTCCTGGCGCTCATATTGTAGACCCTTTTGGTGCTGGTTTATAACATCCAGGGCCACTTGGCTCATGTACTGTTCAAGTGTTGACGAAACATTGTGAGCACGGTTCAACGGCTATCTCATGTTGTCTCCACGCCGAAGCCGACCGAGTTTTTTGCTGCCAGTAGAGAAGCATAGGGAAGCGGCCGCATACATCCTTGCAGAGTTGGAGTGGCGCACGCCGTGAGCGAGACAGGGGGGAAGAAGGATAGGAAACGAAACAAGGGAAAAGGATGGAGGGAAGGAGGGGGGGGACTGCGAGTTCCAGAATAGTGAAAACCGACGTAAGCATAAACTTTCGGAGGTCCCAGCGGATCTCTTGGATCGGCGTTGGACCCACCTGCCCGACGCCCGGATCGCGGCAGGGACAGCGCCGGAGGCGCCGCCACAGGGTTCCTGCGCAGATCCAAGAATCCGCTCGGACGTCCATATGCTCGGCGTCACACCGACATACTAGTACTATGTGTGCGTCGCCCCTCCAGGGGCGACCCGCGCGCCGAGAAATCTTGTAGTGGAAGCTCCGTGGCAGGCGGCTTCTTGCCATACCGCTCGGGAAACGTCTCACCACAGGATGGCTCTGCCGAGTGCTCGGGCGCGACGCCCGCCTCCGAGGAGGACACACAGCACCACTATGTCCCTGTGCGTCCCGTGTGCTGTCAGGGATCTCCGCTACGCTGAGGACATCGGTTCTGACTTCCAGGCTGCGCAAAGAGCTCCCGTGCCCGCACCCCAGGCCGGCGCCGTCGCCGCAGGAGTGCGGGCAGGGCGGGGGGTGCCCCGCCGGCCCGCGGGAGATCTGGCGCGGGCTTCCGAGAGGCTTGTGCTCCTGCGGCGCTCCCTGTGTCACCGAGCGCGCTGCACTACTCGCAGAGTGCCTACTCGCAAACGTCCGACAAGCATGTGCTCGCTCCGACGAAATTTATTATCGCAGATCCTCCGCGGCGAATCGAGGCCATTTGCGAGCAGTTACTCTGCGCGAGCAGTGGAGCGCGCTCGTCTGTTGTGGTCTCCTGGGCGGATGGGGAGGAGGGGATGGGGAGGAGGGGAGGCAGGACTGCAGGGCGCCCCGATTCTCCTGGGCCTCCCAAATGGGGCCAGAGCAGGCGTGGTCGGAGGCTCGCGCCACATCGCCGATGCTCTGGCGATGCGGCGCGGTGCGGAGCCCGATTGTCTCAGCCCCGGCGCTGCCGGTGCATCGGCGATGCGGTGCGACCCCCGCGACGCCCTTTGCAGTCAAGACGCTTGGGTAAGGGGACCACTTGGGCTTTGAGGATGGACTCTGGTTTTTGGGCTGGTCCTCAGATGTTGGTCGGGGGCGGCCCCGCTCGTGGCTAGGCGCGCCGCGGCCAGAAAAGCCCATTCGTCGCTCCTTCTTCCGCGCTCCTTCTATGGTAGCACGCTGGCTTTGCTCCGGCTCCAGTGTTGGAGGCCTCCGACTTTCCGCAGCTTGTTGGGGCCAGGACGCGGCGCCGCCGTGGCCTCGAACAGCGGCTGGCAGCGCTTCAACGACAGGGATTCCTGGGCGTTCCTCCTGGGCGCCTCGCCCTTCTCGTACAGCGAGGCGCGAAGGGGCGGTGGGGGCGAGGGCCAGGGCGAGGGAGGAGGGGGAAGGAGGAGGAGGAGAAGGAGGAGGAGGAGGAGGAGGAGGAGGAGGAGGAGGAGGAGGGAAGGAGGAGGAGGAGAAGGAGGAGGAGGGGGAAGGAGGAGGAGGGGAAGGAGGAGGAGAAGAAGGAGGAGGAGGGGAAGGAGGAGGGGAAGGAGGGCGAGGGAGGAGGGGGAAGGAGGAGGAGGAGAGGGAGGAGGAGGAGAGGGAGGAGGAAGAGCAGGCTCTCGCCTTAGCTCCGCGCGCATTCGTTTTAACAGGCTTGGAAGAGTTTCGCGGACTGAGGGCGATTCCTGTTCACAACGTGGCTCTCACTGTAGCGCCGCGCACATTTATGGTTGTGTATATATATATATATATAGATAGATAGATGTGTAAGTGCAAAACAACATGTACGAGTTTCACGGATTCCTATGATCAGCGTGCCAGAAACGGTGTTCTGGAAGGCTTCAGGATTATGCGGGTACAACAATTATGTTGATTTGCGGTGTTTAAGTCCCAGGAGTGGCCTTCGGGCGCGATTCAGGATCGTCAAGGCGCAACAGTCAGGTTGATCCGTGGCGTTGGAATCCCGAGAACAATGTTTTGGCATGCTTCAGGGTCTTCGAACGGTTGTCTTCCAACGAGGCAGTTCCCTCAGTGGAAGTGAACCGTTGTAGGGGACTATGAAGAGGGAGCTTGGAAGGAGGATTTATTCCAACATGGTCGATTCCTCTCCTTCTCCTGCTCCTCCTCCTCCTCCTCCTCCTCTCTTCTGTCTCCTCCTCTCTCCTATCTCCTCTCTCCTCTCCGGTCTCCTTTTTCGTCCCCCCCTGGTGCCCCAGGTCCTCGCGAACACGAAGAGGGAGAAGTACATGGACAACCTCGTGTGGGTCAGCCAGAGCGAGGCGGGACGCTCCAGAGGGTGCTGTTTGCAGGGGCGGGCACGGAGCGGTGGATGGAGAGAGCGTGGCGGAGCACGCTTTTTAGCCTCCGCCTGCTCCACCTGCAATCTGCAGCTCGGCTGCCGCCTACCTCCGCCGCTCGCTGGGAGTGGTGCTTTCGTGTGTGTGTCCGCAGAGGTGGGTACAATTGTTGTAACGTAGCCACCCAATGGTGCGCCGTGTCGGATAGCACAGTGCGTGTCCGCAGGCGAAGAGAACGCGGGATTCACCGCGCATGTGCGTTTGCATGCTGACGTGCTCGCGCGCCTGCTTGGCTGTCCTCTCGCCGTGGCCGATCCCCGCACGATTGTCGAGGCACGCGTGCTTCGACGTCGTGTCATGGACTCATCGGTCTGGTCGCCCGCTTGCCGCCCGGCCACGTTTCCAGTGGTTCTGGCGGGCAAGAGAAGAACGAGCGCGCCGCGACCGAGTGGGAACGACGCTTTTGGGACAACCGTCCAGGGGGAGCGCTGGGGGGGCGGGGGGTCTCACGGGGGGATGCGTGAACCCGCAATCGCCCACGCATCGCCGATGGAGACCCGACAGGCCCACCCCGCACAGGAGCGTGCGGGCTTGACGTCGGGTGCCCATCGCCGATCCATCGGCGATGCTTCGCCGATTTCGGCTCGCCGTCTTCCCCTCCGCGCTGGTCCCCCGCGAACGCTCCCCTCGACAGTGAGAACGCTGCGCCTGAGCGGGATCGACGTTCCTGGGGAGAGCGCGCGCGGTGCCGAGAAGGCACCGGCCTCTCGTTCTCTCGCGCGCGGCGCCGCTTCTGGTGGGCCTTGGCGGACGACAGGCGCGCGCCCAGGCCGGACATCGGCTTCCAGACGAGGGTGCCGGTGCTTCGCGTATCCTGGGAGGGACTGGCTGTCAATGGCACGTCGCCGTTGGGAGCCCGTGAGCATGTTGCTTCCTCTTCCCCCCCTCTGCGGCCGCCTCGTTCCCCTCCCCTCCTCTTCCTCCCTTCCTATTCCTCCTGCTCTGCTGCTGCTGCTCCTCCTCCTCATCATCATCGTCATCGTCATCGTCATCGTCATCATCATCATCAGCATCAGCATCAGCTTCAGCATCAGCATCAGCATCGGCATCCGCATCATCATCATCAGCATCAGCATCATCATCATCGTCATCATCATCAGCATCATCATCGTCAGCATCAGCATCAGCATCATCATCATCATCAACATCAGCATCAGCATCATCAGCATCATCATCATCGGCATCAGCATCAGCATCATCATCAGCATCATCATCATCAGCATCAGCATCGTCATCATCAGCATCATCATCATCAGCATCAGCATCATCATCATCATCAGCATCAGCATCATCATCATCATCAGCATCAGCATCAGCATCAGCATCATCAGCATCATCATCATCATCAGCATCATCATCATCATAATCAGCATCATCAGCATCAGCATCAGCATCATCATCGTCATCAGCATCAGCATCATCATCATCAGCATCAGCATCATCATTATCATCATCATCATCAGCATCAGCATCAGCATCATCATCATCATCATCAGCATCGTCATCAGCATCATCATCATCATCAGCATCATCATCATCGTCATCAGCATCAGCTTCATCATCATCATCAGCATCATCAGCATCAGCATCAGCATCAGCATAATCACCATCCATCGTCAACAACCTATTCAGCCACATCATAATCATGTATCTCATCATCTTCATCTCAGCATTCAGCAACCAGCATCACCCAGCATCATCAGCATCATTCATCACAGCATCACCTCATCAGCAACATTCCAGCAAACAGCATCATCATCCATCATCAGACAGAATCATCATCATCATCATCCCATCATCAGCATCATCATCAGGCACCCATCATCATCAGCATCAGGCATCATCATCATCAGCATCATCAGCGCATCAGCATCATCACAGCATCAGCATCTCATCATCATCGTCATCATCAAACATATCAGCATCAGTCATCATCATAGCATCATCAGCATCAGGCATCATCATCACGGCATCATATCATCAGCATAGCCATCAGCTATCGGGCATCAGCATCAGCATCAGCATTATCAGCATCAGCAATCATCATCATCAGCATCAGAATCAGCATCATCATCGCATTATCAATCATCTCAGCAGTCAGCATCAGCATCAGCCAGCAGCATCATCATCATCCAGCATCAGCATCATCATCATCAGCAGCATCATCATCAGCAGCATTCCATCATCATCATTCATAAGTAGCACTCAGCATCATCAGCATCAGAGCAGGAATCATCATCACATCAGCATCAGCATCATCATCATCATCATCATCATCATCATCATCATCATCATCATCATCATCATCATCATCATCATCATCATCATCATCATCATCATAATCAGCATCATCATCATCATCATCATCATCAGCAGCAGCAGCAGCAGCATCATCATCATCATCAGAAGCATCAGCATCATCATCAGCATCAGCATCAGCATCATCATCAGCATCAGCATCATCATCACATCATCATCATCATTATCATCATCATCAGCATCAGCAGCATCAGCATCATGAGCATCATCATCATCAGCATCAGCATCATCAGCATCATCATCAGCATCAGCATCATCATCATCATCAGCGTCAGCATCATCATCATCATCATCATCATCATCATCAGCATCAGCATCAGCATCAGCATCAGCATCATCATCATCAGCATCATCATCATCAGCATCATCAGCATCATCATCATCATCATCAGCATCAGCATCCTCAGCATCAGCATCATCATCGTCATCGTCATCATCAGCATCAGCATCATCATCGTCATCGTCATCATCAGCATCAGCATCATCATCATCATCATCATCATCATCATCATCATCATCATTAGCATCAGCATCAGCATCAGCATCATCATCATCAGCATCATCATCAGCATCATCAGCATCATCATCATCAGCATCATCATCATCATCATCATCATCATCATCATCCCCTTTCCCCTCTTCTCTTCGGGTGGATTCGCGACTCCGTGCCCCGGTTTCGCTCGGTCGCGCGCGCGGGTTGCCTCTGCCGCACTGCGACGGAGAAAGGTATGCCTCCTCGCTGCTGTCTGGAGAGCACGTGTTGCCCGAGCAATCACACGCGGCGGCGTGCCATTGCTGCTGTGTTAAGCTCTCCCGGTGACTTCACCAGCCCAGCCGGATTTTGTTCCCAAGGCAAGAACCTGCGAAGCAAGGGAGAAGTCTCGGGCCGTCCTGGGAGCTATTCGAGCCCGCAGGCACGGAGGAGAAAAAATCATGGAAAGACGACGGAATATCTTATTCCAGAAGGGGAAAACATACAGACACAATTAATCGTCGATTCCCCAGAAAATATGGGAGCATATGGGAGAACATGGGAGTTGGGGGGGGAGGCCAAAAACTCAGAAAATATGGGAAAATATGGTGAATCCTGGCATTTGTGTCTATTTATTTGTGTGTCCCAGGTCCCCTTCATTATTTGCGTGATGAACTTAGTGTCGACGGCAACGCCAGTGGTGGGAAGTGGCGCAGAACCGTCAACGGTGGGATCATCTTAACACGTTTTGCAGCACGTGCGCCGAGTTATGTATTCCGCCAACTGTCTCGACTCCGGCTCGTAAAAAGACTCCTGTCCCCAGTCTTGCATTCTTTCTGCACGCGCATGCCGCCATCTCGCGCCGATCGGGTCATCACCAGCATGTTGTCGGATTCTGGCCTGCCCGATTGCGGCGGCTCCTTCCCAAATCCTTTTTGTTCGCCTTCACTTGTCCTCCTCTGACCTCCCACGTGCTCATCTAGGGGACCAACTGCGAACCCTACCCCTACCCCCCACGATTTCTGAGGGGGAGGGTGGGGTTCACTTCGCTCTGGAGCTCCCGAACGAAGTGAACCCCACCCTCCCCCTCAGAAATCGTGGGGGGTAGGGGTAGGGTTCGCAGGTGGCTCCCTATCATCACTCCAGGGTCCAGCCCCGATCCCACCTTCCACCTCCACCTATCGACTTCCACCTGTCCGTCGGCCCAGCACCCCCTGGACCTCCGACCTCCTGCGCCCAGCCTTCCACTTCCACCTCCACCGTTCGGCAATTTTAGCTCTGCCACCTCAGCACTCCGACCTCTTAACCTTCTGTGCCCGGCTTTCCACCTCCACGTCCACCCATCGACCTCCAGCCTCCACGTTCACGCCACTCCAACCTTCGACCTCCAGCGTCGACGCCCCGAGTCCGCCTCCACCTATCGACCCCCGGCCTCCACGAGCCCAGGATTCCGACCTTTCAGCCTCCAACATCCGACACTCCGCTTCCACCTCCTTGTACACCTCAAGCCTCCATGATACCAGCAGTGTGACACCGAGCCCCAGAGCCCGACATACCACCCACCTCCCGAATTCAGCGTGCACCTGCCGAGCATTCCGACGTCCAGCCTCCAGCAGCATTCCCCCCCTAGAGCTAATGAGCCACACTCCAACCAGCTGAGCATTCCGACCTCCAGCCTCCAACATCTGAAGTCCCACATCCACTTACCACTATCGACATCCACGCTTCTCCAAAACAGCCTTCTGACCTCCAACCTCCAGCATACGACCTTCGACTTTCAACTGCAACCACCGATCTCCAGACTGCATCCGATCAAGACTCCGACATGCAGCCTCCAGCATCCAACTATCCACACCACCTCCACATCGACCACCCGTCACCCAGTCCGACTCCTGAGGGCTCCAGTCCCCCCGCGCCGCCCTCAAAGGGCTGGTCCCGCTGGACCGACACCGCGCGCTTGTGGCTGTCTTGAGCCATACTCGGGCTGGAAGGGCCACTGGAAGCCGAACTCATATTTCACCCCATAGCGCGACGAGCAGCCAAATGACGGCTTGTATGCCTGAAGCCATCCAGATGGGCAAGTGGTGAGCACGTGCATTTTCAATTTTATTTTGTCATTTTGTTGGCAAGAACACCCGGATACAACTTTGTATTACCAAAAGCGTTCCGACAAAGAAGCAATATACAGAGAAGGTGGGACTTTTCAAGGACGTAGTCGGGGGAGTGATGAGAGCAGAATTCGCATTGAGCGTTTGTTGAGCAGTTGTAGCGGAGGGGGAGAGGGGGAGGCTGGGAGGAGGGCGGGAGGGAGGGAGGACTGTGAGGCGGAGAGGGTGGGAGGGACGAGCGAGAGAGCATGGAGGGGGGAGAACTGGGGGAGAAGTGGACGGAGGAACAATGAGGCGCGGATCACAGACGTTGAAGGAGATGCCTCGAAGACTGTTTTTTTTGTTCTCTCTCTATCTCTGTTTCTCGAGCGGGCTGCGGGCCAGATGCCTGGCGTGCTCACGCAGGGCTGCGACGACAACTCGTCGTACCCGCCTGCCTTCACGTCGTACCTTTCCAGGCAGGCCGTGCCAGGGGAGAGACCAGTCGGGCGGGGCCAGGACGAGGATCAATCCGCATCAGAGTGTTCCGGAACGCTCTCGGAGCGTTCCGGAACGCTCCGAGAAGGCCGCGGCGCCCGAGACACCCCCCAGAACCGCTGGATCTCAGAGGTTCTCGATTTGTCCTCACCCGATGTTATCCTCGCGAGCAGAGCGCCGTCTGTCACCAGCCTCGAACTTATCCCTATCCCTGAGATTGACACGCCAAAAGGCGATGACAAGCTTAGGGGTGCACCCTCAGAAACTGAGGGAATCCCTAAGATCGCCATCGTGATGAGGCGATGCCGAACATAGGGATAGGGATATGTTCCAGGCTGGTAAGTCTGGCCATTTCCGCACGCCGTTTTTTCGTTTTCCCGCGTGCTGTTGTTTTGAGGCGCCAGCCCGCGGCCGTCTGGTCTTCGCTCTCGAAGGGCGACGGTCTGGCACGAATTATCCTGGCGAAGGACCCAACCGTATGCAGTTGTGAGCACCGTCGCTGCGGTTATCGCCTTCGTGGGATCTCCTCATGGGGCCATGAAGCCTGCGAAGGGTGTGCCGATGTGGGGCGGGGCCGCCATGTGGGCGCTGCCACTGGTGCTTTTAGGCAGAACGCGCTACGGGGCCGCGAAAAGTGTGAGGGGTGCGCCGCAGTGAGGCAGCCGCCATTGGGGCCTTCGGTGGAGCTCCCTATGGGGCAACGAAGAAGTGTCATGGGTTGGGGAAGCGCATGCGAGCACAGCCATTGGGGCCTTCGGTGCAGCTCCTAATGATGCCACGAAGCGCTGTGCTGGGTGGGGGGAACGCATGCGAACACCGCCACTGGGGCCTTCGGTGGAGCTCCCCATGGGGCCACGAAGCGCTGTGCTGGGTGGGGGGAACGCATGCGAACACCGCCACTGGGGCCTTCGGTGGAGCTCCCTATTGGGCCACGAAGCGTTGCACTGGGTGGGGGAACCGCATGCGAGTGCACCCACTGGGGCCTCCGGTGGAGCTCCCCATGGGGCCACGAAGCGCTGTACTGGGTAGGGGTGACGCATGCGGGCGGTGCCACTGGGGCCTTCGGTAGAGCTCCCTATGGGGCCACGAAGCGCTGTACTGGGTGGGGGTGACGCATGCGGGTGGTGCCACTGGGGCCTTCGGTGGAGCTCTCTATGTACTGGGTGGGGGTTGACGCATGCGGGCGGTGCCACTGGGGCCTTCGGTAGAGCTCCCTACGGGGCCACGAAGCGCTGTGCTGGGTGGGGGGAGTGCATGCGAACACCGCCACTGGGGCCTTCGGTGGAGCTACCTTTGGGGCCACGGAGCGCTGTACTGGGTGGGGGTGACGCATGCGGGCGGTGCCGCTGTGGCCTTCGCGGTGGAGCTCCCTATGGGGCCACGACGCGCTGTACTGGGTGGGGGTGGCGCATGCGGGCGGTGGCACTGGGGCCTTCGGTGGAGCTCCCTATGAGGCCATAAAACGCTGTACTGGGTTGGGGTGGTAGCACTTTGGCCTTCGGTGGGGCTCCTTATCTGGCCACGAAACGTGAGGGTGGTGACGGGAGGAGGGGGGAGGAGGGGGAGGACGAATGTAGGAGAGGAACGCGGGGACCGTCTCTTCAAAACGAAGACACACCACATGATGGTTGGGAAACATTTTTTTGGGGTGGGTGGGGGTGGGGTGGGGGATCCTCCTCCTCCTCCTCCTACCCCTCCTCCTCCTCCTCCTCCTCCCTCCTCCTCTCCTCCTCCTCCTCCTCCTCCTCCTCCTCCTCCTCCTCCTCTTCCTCATTCTCCTCTCATCCTCCTCTCATTCTCCTCCTCTCCTCTCCTCCTCCTTCTCCTCCTCCTCCTCCTCCTCCTCCTCCTTCTCCTCCTCCTCCTCCTCCTCCCTCCTCCTCCCTCTCCCCCTTTTCTCCTCCTCCTCCTCCTCCTCCTTTTCCCTCCTCCTCCTCCTCCTTCTCCTCCTCCTCCTCCTCCTCCTTCTCTTCCTCTCCTCCTCCTCCTCCTCCTCCTCCTCCTCCTCCTCCTCCTCCCGTCCTCCTTCTCCTCCTCCTCCTCCTCCTCCTCCTCCTAGTCCCGCCTCCTCCCCCTCCTCCTCCTCCTCCTCCTCCTCCTCCTCCTCCTCCTCCCTCCTCCTCCTCCTCCTCCTCCTCCTCCTCCCTCCCCTCCTTCCCCTCTCCTCCTCCTCCTCCTCCTCCCCCCGCGTTCCCCCTCCCCTCCTCCTCCTCCTCCTCCTCCTCCTCCTCCTCCTCCTCCTCCTCCTCGCGCCGTTTTCGCTTGTGGCCCCCTCGTTTTGAACGCCAGCGGTGCTCAAAACAGGAACGGTGTTCTGCTCGCGCCCCCTGGGGGAAAACGGCAGGTCCGCGCCGCATATTGACGCGGCGGCGACCCCCCGCGCGGGCGTTCCAGGGCTGCACGCCGCCGGTCTCCCGGAAGCGGGAAGGCACTGGAGAGCCACGGTCTTTCGAGCAACGAACAGAAACGAATCCACCCAGTGAGCGGTAGGCCGTGTCCGATTGTGGCTCCGACACCTGCTCCTATTTCCCCGACCCTGGCTCCCATTCCCTGGCTCCAGCATCTGAACGGCCAGCCAATGCCAGCGCCCCGGCGCCCACCCACCGTACCCTCGTGGGTGCCTTGACGCGGGTTTTTGTTTTGTCTTGTTGAATTCTGTTTTGTTTTGTCTTGTCTTGTCTTGTCTTGTCTTGTCTTGTCTTGTCTTGTCTTGTCTTGTCTTGTCTTGTCTTGTCTTGTCTTGTCTTGTCTTGTCTTGTCTTGTCTTGTCTTGTCTTGTCTTGTCTTGTCTTGTCTTGTCTTGTCTTGTCTTGTCTTGTCTTGTCTTGTCTTGTCTTGTCTTGTCTTGTCTTGTCTTGTCTTGTCTTGTCTTGTCTTGTCTTGTCTTGTCTTGTCTTGTCTTGTCTTGTCTTGTCTTGTCCTGTCCTGTCCTGTCTTGTCCTGTCTTGTCTTGTCTTGTCTTGCTCGAGGTTCAAGGGTCCACGCGGTGTTAGATACCAACGCCGACCTCATCGCGACGCGAACTCGCCGTATGAGGAGCAGGTGAAGACGGAACATCACCAGGACGGGAGTGTGGTCTAGCGCTTCATTCGTGGTCGCCTCCTTGCTGCTGAGTGTGTGGGCGGTTGCTTGCCAGGAGCAACCCTGGAGTGAGTGTTTATTCAGGTCACGTAGTTGAGTCAGTTTTCCCTGATCTATCATGAGGGATGATGCAGTGATATCGGTAATTCGTCCCCTCCGCTTCGTCAATTGTGCTGTTCGTGTGGATTGAACAGCATTCGGGTGTCAGGGGTACAAGTTTTCGTATCTTCCAGGTCCACGTTCGTTTGGCACGAGTTGTATCATGAACGGGGAGTGTGGGATTTGTTTGTTTTCGCAATTGTGGTGTGTGACTAGTGGTCATGTTTCTTTTGGCGACGCTATCCACGTCGGCGTTGTGTTCGTCGTCGCCCGTGTCGTGGTTGTCACAGCTACTTTCGTTATTTTCTTGCTAGCGAGCGTTGGTGATTGCCCTCTGATAGTGTTTTCGGTGCAGGCAGCACATGTGGCTTCAGCGTTTTTTTTCCCACCCATCCTGTGGTGTTGGGTCCTCGTTTTGCAGAGACAGCGCACCGCGTTCTCCTCCCGCCTCCTTCCTCCCGCCTCGGCCCTCCTCCCATCCCTGCCTCTGCCCTCCGCGCTCTGCATGCACTTTTCGTCATCGTCATCATGATCATCACCACCAGCATCGCTGTCATCACCATCATCGTCATCATCATCGCCGTCATCACCCACACGATTCGTGGTCCCATAGGGAGCTCCGCCGAAGGTCCCAGTGGCAGCGCCCGCATGGCACCACCGCATCCATTTTGGCACACCCATCACGCGTTTCGTGGCCCTATAGGGAGCTCCACCAAAGGCCCCAGAGGCAGCGCCTGTATGGCACCACCACACCGGTTTCGGCACACGCCTCCCACGTTCCGGGCTCCGTAGGGAGCTCCACCGACGGCCCCAGTGGCAGCGCCCGCATGGCACCACCGCGACCGTTTCGGTACACCCCTCACACGTTTCGGAACCCCATAGGGAGCTCCACCGAAGGCCCCAGTGGCAGCGCCTGCATGGCACCACCGCGCCCGTTTCGGCACACGCCTCACACGTTTCGTGGCTCCATGGGGAGCTGCACCGAAGGCCACAGTGGCAGCGCTCGCATGGCACCACCGCGCCCTGTTTCGGCACACGCCTCACCCGTTCCGGGCCCTATAGGGAGCTGCACCGAAGGCCCCCGTGGCAGCGCCCGCATGGCACCTCCGCGCCCTGTTTCGGTACACCCCTCACACGTTTCGGAGCCCCATGAGGAGCTCCGCATGAGGCCCCCGTGGCAGCGCCCGCACGGCAGCACCACCGCGCCCTGTTTCGGCACACCCCTCACACGTTTTGTGGCCCCACAGGGAGCTGCACCTAAGGCCCGCAGCGCCTGTATGGCACCACCGCGTACGTTTCGGCACACCCCTCACACGCTTCGGTCCCCATAACCATAAGGAGCTCCACCGAAGAGGATACGCACCACCGTGGTATTCACAACTGCATATGGTTGGGTCTTTCGCCAGGATGCTCTTGCATTTCTCTCTCTACTATGTACTATGGCAGAACCTTTCGAGTGGCAGCCTGACACTGTGCGTGCCTGACGGCGTCCTTCCTCGGAAGCGTCTGGCATGCGTGGTCTGTTTTGGATGGGGCGCCTTTTTTGGCTCGAAGGGGCGTGCCATGAGGTAGTTGCGGTTTTCCGCGGTGCTGGCAGGCGAAGCATCGGTGGCGTGCTGAACATAATAGTGCTTTTTCTTTTTGCCGGCTGCAGGCGCTGTGTCGGGTGGCTGTCCCTTCCCTCTCGGGCGCCTCGCTGGCAGGTCTCGCGACTCAGCGCTCTCTCCCTCCAGCGCCCTCCCCTCAGCCTCGGGCCTCGAGTCTGCCCGGGGGCTGGGCCCGCGGGGCCACGAACCAGAAGCGCCACGGGTCGATGATCGCCCAGATCGGGTGTTGCTAGACCGTCCCAGGTCGGGTGTTGCTTGAAGTGCCCCTGGCCGAGGGTGCCCCCAGCTTTTCGCTCCGTCCTGGAGCCCCTGAGGCCCTCTGGGCCTCGTGAGGGGTGCCCTGGGCGCGGCCTGGGCCACCCCGAGAATCAGGGGGGGTACCCCCCCCCCGTCCGGGGCTGGGGGTACCCCCCTCGTCCAGGGCTTCGAAGCTATCCCCCTCCGACTCCCTGTTCCAGAGCAGAAGGTGAGCCCGGGTTTCCCTTTCAAAGGGGAGGGGGGCTTCGGAAGCTACCCCCCCCCTCCTTTTTTTGTCTGGACACAGTGGGGGGGCGGCTTCAGGCTGCCCTGGGCCAGGGGTGCTCTCTTGGCAGCACCCGACGAGGGGGCAGCTCCCCGGGTTGGGCCGCGCAGCTGCCCCCCCGCTCGGCAGAGCTCCCCGCT